TCTAAATAAGAGGGGGGATGAAGAACTAAAAAAGATGAAGTCTAGCCAATTTAAAAAAATCATCAATATTGGAGCGCTATAAATGGAATAGAGCCAGGGCCTCTTGATGGGTAAAGGAATTTTATCTATTAGAGGCACTGGGTGTTTTATCATAAAGTATTTCCCGTTTTGGCTCAGTGATAATGTTAGAACATTGGCTTGTTGACCATGTTCATTTATCTATAATGTTTTAATATATATTATATATATTTTTTTAAATTAACATTTTTAAAATGTTTTATTCTCTCAGTACAAGATTAAAGTAGACTAAATTATTCTCATTACTAAATGTCTCAATTTGTGTCTGCAATATTCAAAAGATGTAGGGACTATAGGGTCTCATCAATTGTGTAGCAATGGGCAGGAGCCCATAGTGTCTATTTATAAAAAGGGGTTGGAATATATTATTTTTAAAAAGCCAGATGCAATAATCTGTAGCAGCGGAATAATAACAATTCGATTATATATTTTTTATTTCGATATAAAGTGTATATAAAAAAATGTCGTTGTGTCACCCCTGTTGCGTTACTTAACGACTGATTAATGATGAATGGAATGCAATCGGGCCAACATGCACCATATGCATTATAATGACAGTTCGAAAGTTCAATTTACTACTATCGTATCCTATCAGCATGTATATTTATTTTGAACTTTCTCGCGAACGTAATAAGATTCACTTATTATGTGTATTAAGAAATTTATATTCACGGCTATTTGAATTTAAATGTTTTCATTCAAAATTAAGGTAACATTTTAATCACTCGAAGAGTTCGAAAGATCAACTGGTTGTACCTGTTTCATTTCAATAACTACTATAGTAGTTCTTTGTTGTGTAACAGTTCACATACTTTATCGCGATCTGATTATTTTTTTTGTATATATAAGGTAGTATCTTATCTATATATTGGAAGTTTATTGACTTCTATGTGTTACTATAGAGAGTCCAGTTTTATTTGAATGGTGTTTCTTGAAATTTAGATTATTCATTGAGAGTTCGAAAGTTCAGCCGCGTATCTTATCTACCTAATGTAGTATATACCTAATCTACTATCGTACTGTCGGTGGCATCGCGACAACGAGTGTGATTTATTATTGTGCTAATGTCCAAATATTTAGATAGTACATTCAGCTAATGTAGCGATTTCGTACCCGTATAACATTTTTCTTTGTAAATCTATTAACATAATAAAACATACACATATTATACAGCTTATCACAGACATTAGTGACAATCGCACCGAAATCAGTTGAGCCGTATTTGAGATTAACGCGAGCAAGAGCATCAGACAAACTTATAAAATTCTGATAATGTTTTGGATTCCATTACGTTTGTAAAGTCCCCCCAAAAATATGTTTTGTCATATATCTTTCATGTACAGACAGCGTTCAGTTCTATTTTTTATAAGTATATTTGGATGAGCTTCTTTACTAATGATACTGATATGCATAGATTACGGTAACCAGTTACCATCAGGCAGATCGTATGCTTGACTACCACTCAATGTTTGCAACAACCAATGAAGAGATTTCGATTGCATTAAACTAATTATTTACATAAATTATTTCTTCACAGATAGTTCAATTATTAGAGTATTTGTCGGTAATTTAGCTAAATCCGGTCGATGACGCCGATGAAACGATATCTGCGAACTTGTGTTAATGTAGTGCAGTGAATTCTCAACTCGCTTAAACAATAATAGTCATAACATATTACCGATAAATCGTAATTTTTTTATATCATGGCTACCTCAGTCTCACCTATTTCGCCAAACAGCTTGCTTTGTAATCTGTATTTCGTATTTTTAGAATAGAATTGAAAATTCTCTATTCAAATAAATTTATCCTTAAGTCCCTTCAAATAGTCATACTTTTTTTTAATCTACCTCTCATTCGGAAAGCTGTCTCATCACAAGAAGAATGACCAAGAAACATGTGTGTTGTTCTTTCAGATAAATTGTTGTAACTTTATATTTTAAGTTGAAATGTGTGAATACAAACCAACTAGTATAGTGGATTGTCGGGTGAGGCAGTGAAATTACAGAAATTCATCTCAATAAGAGACATGGCATCTTAGCTCGGAATGGCAATACATGAGTGGCATTACAGCCGTCATATCGTAACGTGGTGATGTTCACGGAAATACCATTAGGTGGGCCGGCAGCTTGTTTGCCAAAAATTAAATGAAAACATGACATGTGAAATAGCTATTTGAACCTCTCGGGATTGTCTAACGACGCAATTCTGTAACGATTTCGTATGTTTAGTTATCAAGTCATGCAATTTAAACGCCCTTCACGTATCGTCCAATAAAGGACAAATTAAAATTTGCAATTGGGTCTAGGCATTTTCAAGGAAATTTAGGTTTTTATTGACCGGATAGCTTCCTTGACGTTTGTTGGTATTAAAACGTTTTACTACATTTGATGCATTAATTGAGGTCGTAAAAATGTTATTCGTAATATGACGTGACTCTATTTGTCAAGGGGTCGCAGGTTCCCTTCCATTTTTATCTTATCGGACATTCGTCTGTTGATAATATATTATAATCTGTAATTATTTTTCATAGTCTTTACTACTTTACTCTGTTTTTGCACATATTTTTCCATTATGTTATTGTTCTATAGTATTACTATGTTATAAATTTCTATTAAAATTGTCAAATCTAAGTGATCTGGCATCTTCCGCTAATATCCTGCAAGCGTATACCGTTAGCGAAGGCGGGTGCACCTTTCTTGTCTTATTTCTGTTTCTGTCTTATTAACATCCGTTAAAAACATTACTAATTAATACACTTCTTTGGTGTCTGTTAAAAAAAAAGGAATTTATTATAAATACGTTATCTAGACCTTCTTCAAATCGTAGATTCTTCTCCAACTTTCCTTCATTCTCTTGACTTATGGACAGAGGAAGTGATTTATCCAGTTTTACGGAAAGCTCTTATTGCAATATTCTATAAGGGTAGAACTCTACAGGCAAATGAATACTGCTTGTTTATTGCCTTAGGCAATATTTTTATACTATTTATTACATGGAGTACATTTTATTTAATTTGATATATTCATAACAATTTACATTGTGTTCAATTATTTATTGGATTTTATAATTAAATATAACTAATAGTTACATGTTTAAATTTAATGCGTATGTACATACATACGCATTAAATTTAAACATGTAACTAGTTAATTTAGATATTTATATTGTTATTTATAAATACAACATCAATATCTGTGTATTTATATTTATAATAAAAGCAAATGTCTGTACGTATGTACACGTACAAAAAATAACATATTTAAACATATATGATTGGGGTGGGCAACCCTACACTACAATTTGCGTCACAACCACAACAATTGTGTCCAATGCGTTGACCTGGAACGTGGTAGTAATTTTCCCAAGAAGCCGGCTTTGCAACATCGCCCGCCAGTGTTAATTAATATTAACACATGCTCTTCTCTCGTACAACGGCCGTTTATTCATTATATTTGGAATAAATTTTATACAAACTGACAGCTCACCTGATGGAAGAGGACCATTCGTAAATTGCATCTTAAATAATTATCTTAAATAATCCATAAAAACATTCAGTTTTATTTTATACTAGCTGTGCCCGCGGTTTCACCCGCGTTGAATTTCAATAAAAAATATAGCCTATATGTTATTCTGATGTATAAGCTATATTACTGTAAAGTTTCATCAAAATCCGTTCAGTAGTTTTTGTGTGAAAGAGTAACAAATATCCATACTTACAAACTTTCGCGTTTATAATATTGTATTAAGATTAAGATATAAAATTCTTGTGTCACAATGTTAGTACACAAACCGCAAAAAGTACATCATATTTACTATTAAACAGCTATTGAAATACATTAAAAATAAGATTATTGATGTAACAGTATGCTCTCATTTCCGTATTATGGCGGGCAACATAATAGTTATTTACAAGAAGTATTGGCAACGTATTGCCTTCTGTGATATATCTGGTGCCAAGTTCACGATCAAAACAAACACCAGATGACGTTTTTAGTATTGTACTGTTTTAGTACAATAACAAATAAATAGATATAGAAATTCGTTATTCATCAATTATAAATATAACATTACATGAGATAAAGAAAAAATAAAATATACAAATTAAGAAATGGAGGTGGCTTTATGTGTCGCAAAGATAAAGAATAGAATAGAATAGAAAATCATTTATCTAAATAAACTTATATTGAAGGCGATGGTTACCATTTACCATCAAGTGGTCAATCAATTTGCCAATCCGATAACTTAAAAAACGGTTGTCCACATTTTTGAATTTGTATAACCCCTCCTGCTACATTATCATCATCTGCTTCTTCTTTATCCCATTAATTTTGGGTCAGAGTAATGTTTTCTCTTCCATTTCATCCCTATTCCCTCCATAACATTATACAGGGATTTAAAGTAAATGTCAACAAGTTTACGACCGGGTTTTAGCGCTCAATGGATGTAATCCTCTACTGTTCGACCCTGCTATACTACGGCTGTCAATTTAAGACCCTTATCCGATTTGTGAATACCACATTAAATTAATCGTTCAGAGACATTTAGGGTCGGTTAATGGATGTAATAATAGCTTTCTCATCCATCATTGGTGTACGGACAAGATTGATGGAATTTGCGTATTTGTATTACGCACTCATAAAAACGGAACAAGGCTGTTCATATTTACAGTTACTAAAAATAAAGTAGGCGGCACATGAGTGAAAATACGATAACAAAATTAAAATAAAAAACATTAAAAAATAAATATATACACTTATGTAAATAAATTAAAATTAGGTGTACAGATATACACCGAAATAAGTTTAAACAGTAATCTACACTAAAATAATAATATTACTAATATTATAACGTTTTTATTTATTGTGGTACAACTTTCGCTACAAACTGTCCGGAAGCTGTCACTCAGTGGAATTCTGTTGCAGCGTCGTCACTGGGTGCTGCCATCACGATGCCGATCTGCGGTTTCCTCATTGCACACTTTGGATGGGAGTCGGCTTTCTACTTCACTGGTAATTATAATAGTTTACGCAAATATTCATTATTACCCATGTTTTGAATATAAAGTTGTCTGCCACGATACTATTGACATAGGAAAAAAAATCAAACTTCAAAATTCTTTACTTAGGTTTTTTACTAAGTTCTATTACTAAGTTTTTACTAAGTTTTACTAACTTTTATACAGTTGTTAAAATCTCTTTTTATATTACTTTATTTGCTTTTGTTTTAATAACTCCAGCTGCTAAGCTTGCTTGACTTAGTTAAGTGGGTAAGATATGGCAGTGGAAATACTAGGTAAGGTTTCATGAAATGAACTTATGCAGATGACTTTAGTTTTCTGTTAGTAACAGAATAGAATTTTTGGATATTCATATTTTTTTTCTTGCTATAATTTTGATATACATTTTACTATTTATATGTATTGTTAACTGATGGATTTGTAAAAGTGTCTGTAGAATTATAATCAGTAATGGGGTCTGCCTGAAAACCACCGCTGTATTATAGATACACCTCCTTGAGGTTGTGCTTATGTTAGCAACAGCTGAGGCAGCTCCTATTGCCAATAGTTTTAAAGAGTAAAGAGGGTTGCCTGAAAACCAGCACTGTATAGGTGCGCTTCATTGAGGTTGTGCTTATAGCAACAGTTGAGACAGCTCCTATTGCCAACTTTGTATGTTTTTTCTTATTTTGTATTGCTTGGTAATCTGTTAATATTGGTAATAAAGGTTTTTCCAATCTATCTGAATTGTAAAATGTGTGAGTATGGCTAAATGATACACTTGATAATGACTGATGCAGGTCTCATTGGCGCTATATGGTCGCTGGCCTGGTTCGCAGTGGTGTACGATACACCAGCAGATCACCCTCGGATCACCGAAGAAGAAAAAAACTACCTCATGGAAGTTCTGCCTAAAGACAACACAAAGAAGGGAGTGAGTGTCTATACCTGTTTTATTACTACCTTTCTGTATCAATTAAATAAATAATGATATTATTAATTCTCTGTAGTTTTGCGAGAACGTATTACATCTTCACCACCTTTAGAGTTGTTATTATTAAAAGGGTTGATGGTTTAAATTAGATTTTGGTTTCTGATTTGTATGTAGATTGTTTGTATAGAATATCTGCTGTAAACCTTGAGTCAAAATTACTACAGTCTGACTACAGGTTCAAACGTCTAACAGCGCCCTCAGATTAAAGTATTCTCGTCTGGTGAAGCTGTAAAGGCTTTAAACTTAACAACTTTAGAATATTTCGAAATTTTATTTAATATTTTTTTATTCTAACTATTCTTACTCACTAAAAACCTCATGGGGTACCTACGAGCCGCAGCCGAAAAGTTCACGCGTTGAGGAGGTCTCAACGCGTGGGGGGAACTCTTCCCAGTTCCCCAGCTTTTGCCCATCATGAGCACGCATCGGAATAAGGGATGCGCCTCTCCCCCATATAGGCTCCTATTATGTCGATAGCAGATGTGAAAAGTTGGCAACCCTAGAGGAGGAGTTGGGAAGCCCACCTTAAAAATCCCGCTCGTAAACTGTACACGTGCCAGTGGAGATACCATGAGTCAGTGTCGTGAACTGTCTTGTCGTTATTCTATTAATATGTATGCGACTATAAAACTCAACAACATTGTTTAGGATCCTATCTGTTTATATAATAACTAGACGCCATCTGTAATAATACAAGCATTAAGTATAATATTTTACTCAATACATTGGTAATATTTATATTAATGGTAAGAGCCTCAAAAATAGTATTTTTATTTAACTCCTAATTCCTAATTGTGCTCTTAATTGTGCCTACGGAAATATAACAGTTAAATGCGAGTGGCAGAATAATATATCAACACATGTGATTCGGCCGTTTTCATCAGTACTTTGATGCCCTGTAGAATATTAAATAAACGTAAAACATCGAGTTTCAACAACGAAATTCCAATCTTGCGCTAAAACAGACTTTACATGTTAGTATGGTTTCCAATATAAGTAAAAATGAAAACTAGCCTCGAACATATGGGCCATATAAAAATTTTTTTTGGCGAATTGCATAATTTTTTTATTATTATCCTTTTTTTTTAATTATAATAATAATATTCCAGGCCAATTCACACAACGTTATCTAGTCCCGAGCTAAGCAAAGCTAGTGTTATGGGTACTAGACAACCGATATCAATATAACATAGATGTTTTTTTGTAAATACGTATTTAATATACATAGAAAACACCCAGACCGATACAAACAATCACGCTCATTAATACAATTGTACCGTACGAGGAATTGAACTCGCAACCATCGGAGATAAGGCGGTGTGTTAAACCGCTAGACCACCGAGGTTGCCAAATTCTTTATAAACACTGACTAATATTTTCCTTTCCATGTTTTCCAAAAAACATAAAGTTATTCGAGACTGTCATTTATATCCAAGCAGGATTACACAACCAAAGCTTTGTTCATTTGTGGTTCCGTCATTAGACTTGTGTTCGAACTAGCTAGACTATTTGAACAGGTCACGACTCGACTATAGAGCAGGGAGACTGGCATCTATCGTGCTATAACTATACAATTATAATAATACCGAGAAGGAAGGAAGCAACGATTATAATATTATTCATAAGCACGACATATCCTTACTAGAGTGTCTCTGTAATTACAGAATGGAATACTCTAAGATTTATTACAGTATAGTTAAGATTTTTCCGCATATTCTTCGTTATAATAAGAAAAAAATATGCTTTTTATTTATTAATTTCAGGCTACTAATTGCTTATATTATAAATACCTACCTTATAGACTAACATACATATGAAATAATAATCTATACAACTATACATCTATACATATAAATAAAATTGGAGTGTCTGTTTGTAACACTAAAATAAACGTTTTTTACTACATGCATATGAATACAGTACCTACACCAAGATAACATTTTTACAATTTTTGTCTGTCTGTCTGTTCGATCCGGCTAATCTGAAAAGGCTGGACCGATTTTGACGCGACTTTGTTTGGCAGGTAGCTGATGTAATAAGGAGTAACTTAGGCTACATTTGTTTTAGAAAAATTCTCATATTTTAGAAAAATAAAGTTAATTCCACGCGGACGAATTCGCGGGAGCAGCTAGTAACAAAATAAATAAAAAAATCGTCTCTGTGGTCACGGCACTGACAACGGCAATCTGCCACAGTAGCGTCGATACACCATCCCCTTCGGCCAGTAGGCCTCCTTCATGAAGGTGGGCAGCATATTGGTGGGCCGGGCTACAAACGCCTTGAAACTCAACTCCAACTGCGTCACCCTCAATATCAGATCACTGGTCCGTATATAGTTGACAATGTCCTGCTCCTTGGTGGCGTAGTGTAGGCGGACATTGCTGTGATCGTGACATAGTGTTGGCGGGTTACGTAGATTGATCTATGATCGGTGTTGCAGCAAGCAACAAGAAGCTGGGCCCAGTGGGTGCTATGGCACAGTAAATAATGTTCATGCATTCTAATTTTAAACACTTATAAACGATATTTAAATTTATAAGGTGTCTCCTTATAATTTTTTTTTTCTGTTGTGGTATGGCCTTATATATTTAAATATAGTTTATAAGGATTATACGGATTGCCAATAATCAGTTGCGCGCGCAACTTCGCATGCGCAATGCTTATACAAATGACATATATGTTTATTTATGACATATGAGCGTTTATATGTCGCATATCTAGTACAGTACATGGTGTAATTCAGAATTTTTTGAAGTTAGACTTAATACCACAGTTATAAAGTAGACTTTCTAAAATTTAAAATTTTTGAGTTAAGCCAGTATACATACATGTATATAGTTATAATAAATGTGTATTCAACCGCATAAAGATAACCTTGCATTTACATTTTCAACCCCTTCCAACCCCTTTTTTTGCATTAAAAAGTAGCCTATGTCTATGTCCTAGCCTATGTCCTTCCTCGCCGTCTAGACTATCTGCGTACCAAATTTCAATTAAATCGGTTCCGTAGTTTTTGCGTGAAATCGAGACAGACAGACAGACAGACAGAGTTACTTTCGCATTTATAATATTATAGTAAGGATGTCTAAATCTGCCACTTTATTGCAAAATTTTCCAAACATTGACTAAAAGCAAACGCATCTTGTTTACGGTTTCGCCAAAAGATTATATTCAACATATTTTCCGTTGCGTGGGCTATAGAAATTTACGTAACTATGACGTCACAGCTGAATGAGCTACATACGGCGACCGAGTGGCCTGCGAATGATGGATATGCGTTGATTGTATCAACAATATGAGATATTAATATCTAAGCAGGAAGTGAGCATTGCTATGGCAGATTTTAGAATAACGTTTATATGTTTGTCCTGTCATGACATTTACAACATTCACTACTAACACTCTCAAGTCGGGGGGGGGGGGGGGGGATGGGGATACCATTGCTAATACCCATGTCAGGTTGACCTCCACAGGGTTTCCCCTGGAAGCTATCGTCTTAAATTCCTGGTGAATTTATCGACAGATCGACTTAATCTGTTTTCTTTTTTATTAATAGTAGTTAGCTTCGTGATACAACCTCTCTTCACGTCCGATAGATCCCCCATTCTGTCCAATTTAAACAGGGATCTAAATTACGACGGCCTCAGCCGTGTGATCCCCTAGCGGTGCCCTCAGACTAAAATCGTATCCTTCAGACAGGAGTTGGATTTCAGCCGCCCAATAAGTCCTTCCACGCGTTTGTAGTAACATATACACTCGTCAGGGGTGACTGCAGATGGTACTTATAAATCGCGATTCAACCTGCTTTCGGTGAAGCTGTAAATTAGAATAGTTTAAATAGATAAATTACTGTAATGAAACTAAATTAGAATAGCTTAAATTAGAATACATTACAATAGTTTAAAAGAAAAGTCATATTTTATTAAGAACCGTTCAGTCGTTTTGTCTCTAAACGGTAAAAGAGATCAGAGGCATTTATAATAATAATAATAATAATCTCAGGACAATTAACACATCGCCATCTAGACCCAAGTTAATCTAGCTAAAGCTTGTGTTATGAATACTAGATAACTGATACATATATACATAGATATTTTTTTTGTCGTAAATACATACATATTATATGTACATAGAAAACAACCAGACCGATACAAACAACCATACTCATGAATACAAATGTTTGTGCCATGCGAGGAATCGAACCCGCGACCATCGGTCGCAAAGCGGTGTGCTAAACCACCGAGGTCGTCAATATTAAGTTCAAATTTTATACTATTATATTAAATGTCATAAAAATAATAAATTGAGTTCAAAGCCATAATATAAAAAAAAAACAATACAAATAAAGAATTAAGTAGTAAATCTAAGTATTAATATAAATGACAGTTATGAAATGAAATAAAATGATTTTAATTTTGCTAGGAATGTGGTGTGCAGATGTTGTACATACGGTTTGCCTTATATGATGAAGACATGCAAAATTTTATATTAGTTATGCTTCTGTAAATAATTACATAGTTCTGTCTTTTAGATAGCATATACCATAGTTATATACTATGTATAATATTAGAAGGAAACAATGAACAATGCGAATGCTGATAATATTGCTCTCGAGACGACACTCGTGTAAAGTGATTATTGGCGATAGCAATGATCAAGTGGGTAGTAGATACGGCCGCACCCATTACTTCAATAGTCTTTTTACGCACAGTAAATGGAATTTTATTAACCGACTTTAAAAAAGGAAATACTGTTCTCGGTAATTTATTGTTTACCTCTCAAGATAACATAGATTTAAGTAGAGTGTAATGTCGGTCTACGTCCCGACTCCGCGTTACTAATAAGCCATGTAGCATTACTAGCTAATAATAAACTTACTAATGTTCTTAGAAGGACGCCATTTAATGTGATGTACATAGCCTGTACGATACCCGTTAAGATAGTAAGAATATAGATCCATAGTTTAGAAGTTTGTGGTAACAGGTGACCATGTACCGGTCAAAATGATGACCATATTTTTTATTTCGTAGTCTATGTGGGAACGGTTGACCATACGTACAAATATAATCCTACTTTTTGCTTCGTAGTCGGGTAAATAGATCTAAATGTAGATGTAGGCTACTTCATGTTTAGTGTGCTGTGTACTTATATAATATTCTTAAATTTAGACCTCAAAACGACGATTTTTTTTTGTTCTAAATCGAGGGAAAACTGTATGAAAAGGATTGTTTGTATGTATTTACAAAAACAATGTGTCTAACTATATGTATCACAGTCTAGTACCTATAACACAAGCTTAGCTTGTGACTAGATGACGCTGTGTCAATTGTCCCAGGATTATGTTATTTTTTTTTAATCAGTTTATAATAATTTGGTTTAAATTTGTAAATTCTAATTATAATATATATAGCTGTTGCCGCGACTTCACCCGCATGAAATTTATAGCCACGGAATTTATCGTTATATCGTTCAGTAGTTTTTGCTTGAAAGACTAACAAACACCCATCCATGCATCTATCTATCCATACTCACAAGCTTTCACGTCTATAATATAAATAATATTAATATAATTTACAGCATTTACCAGTTCCATGGCGGAGCATGCTGACCTCGCCGCCGGTGTGGGCCATCATCTTCACGCACGGAGCCTCGGTCTTCGGATACTTCACTGTAGTCAACCAGCTGCCTACCTACATCGAGAGCATCCTCCATTATAACATTAAACATGTAAGTATTTAATTGTACCAGTAAGTAGTAGTAATAGCTAAAAACCAGTACATCTATAAATATTAATAAAATTGGAGTATCTGTTTGTAATATTGAAATAACCGTTTTTACTACACGTATATGAATATAAATACAATACACCAAAATTACATTTTTTACAATTTTTATATGTTTGTCTGTCTGTCTGTTTGTTCCGGCTAATCTCTGAAATGGCTCGACCGATATCGCCGGGACATTTTTTGGCAGATAGCTGTACATCAGCTATCTGCCAAAAAATGTCCCGTCGAGGAGGAGTAACTTAGGCTACTTTTATTTTAGAAAAATAAAGTTAAATTCCACGCGGTCGATGTCGCTGGAACAGCTAGCAGCATATATAGTTGCTCATTCGTGTTGCGTCAAAAAATGTCCTATAACCATAATAGATTTTCAAACAAAAAATTGTTACCGTTAACCCTTTCGAACATAATATAGCGTCTGTACTCCTAGTCAGACGAAAAAAAACTAGGTTCGTCAAAAAAATCTATCAGCCAGACCGGAAATGCTAAACTTGTCCTTGGCATGCTCAACGAGATGTATATATATTGTATAAACCGTGAACGTGAACCTTAAAGTTGCTATAGATAAGGTTTATTTTATCTGTTAAGTTGTACCTGCCACTCCTTGTTGACTTGAGCCATTTTGTAGGGTGACCATCCAATGTGGAGCGAAAGGTGGAATGTACCAACCGGTATATTTATGTTGTACCGTGTTTATTGCATAAAAACAGGTTATCTCTCATATAAATGAATGCATTGATTTAAATACAATTATAACAGAATTAAAGTGACCAAATTCAAGTTGCGTATTTTATTTATATTTGATTTAAATTATATATAACTGTATATATATTAGAGTGTAACGTAACATTATCGTAACGATTAGTTACTTTAGTGAAAGTAGATCGAGTTGTAGGAATTACGTGTGAGTTATAGAGGGCACCACCAGCGCACAATGTTTAATTCTTTTTGTAATTAAATTTATTATTCTTTGCGAGTACTTTTGTGAAAATAATTGAATTGGGTTATAAATACCGCATAGGCAGAGTCCAGTACATATGAATATAGTTACTATAACATTTAATGGAACTTTATAAACTGTACCCTTTCTATTTCATATACCTTGCACGGTATAGTATATTTATTCAAGTTGTATGGTTATATCATTTAAATATTTCATAGTTTAGTAGTATCTCGTATGACGTTGAAGCGTCAAATGTAGGATTACTCATTACGACCTATACATTTACGATGTGTAATGCTGTTGACAATGTTTACACTTCGATGCCCATACAATAGGTATATCATATTTCAACAGCGTTGCAACTATTGCACATTTACTAAAGCGCTACACGTGTACTTGAGTAATGCTGCAAATGTATTATTTAGCGAAATATTACCAAGAGAATAAACAGATTCAATTTAATGATTTCTTTGTTTCCCGTGAGATTTTATTGTTTAACATTTAATTGCAGTATTATTGTCTAGGAGACTAATTTTAAATCGCGTTTTTTATATCAAGTATATATATTTAAATGTATTTATGAATATCGTTGTGGTGCTAAAACCAGATTCATATATTAATATAAAATAACGGGAAACCAGTTAAATCTGGATAACCTTGTACATTATTTGTGTATGACATTATAATATGAATAATTTAGATTGCAAGATTTGATCAGAGTGACCAACGTTTTATAATAAATTAATAGAAAAAAATAACTATTGAAATATTTTATATTAAAAGCGTAATATTTTGAATTATTAGCTATTTTGGAAATATTAAACAGTTCTGGTTTTATATATGATCATGTCTGTATTACGGAACGGTTTTGGTCAAGTTTCAATGTTAGTCTGCTGGATTAAAAACAGTTTAGCTTAAAACAAAAAATAAATCCGTATTACTGTAAATATGTACAACCATATTTGAAAAAAATACGAACTGTATTTCTTTTTAGTTCTTCTCATCTCGAAAGCACTCCGAACTGGCGGTAGATTCGACATATCATAAGAGTCTTTAACAGACCTAGATGAATAAATATATTTTGCTTTGATTCGATTTGAAACAACTAATGATCTGTACAATTTTAGTCGTTCAGTGAAGTTTAAATACTAAAGAGTACTGTATCAACTTTTTTATTAATTTGAACTAGGATTTATAACTGCTAGTATATGTATTTATACAAGTGGATAAAGTAGCGTAGGCATAGAGTAATTTTCGATAATAATATCCAAAATTGAAACGTACACACACATTTACATTATGAAGGCAATTGTGCACAAACATTTAAATATTTTTATTTATCCAATAATGTTATTGTTATTGTAAAAAGTATTTAATTATAGGCACTTAGAATAACATTAAATGGAGTAGATTCAAGTCAAAAAGGAACAAAAATGGACATTGCTACTACGACAAAACTTATAATTTGTTTCTTGTTAGATGAAAAGCGTTTTATTGCTTCAAATATGCAAAGAAAAAAACGACGGAACAGTTAACCCAGATTTTGATTTCGTTATGATTTTTTGTCCCAGTGCTTTCGATTTTATCTCGTTTTGTAACTTACAAAGTCACTAAGGATAAACAAGACTCACGCAAGCCACTCACCCTATTGCATCAGCCGAGAAGTGGACAGCCTCAGGTTTTATGGCAATAGCAGGTTGCCACACCTCAAACAATCTCGCAAACGTAACAAAACTATCGCTAATAAATTCCTTAATAAAAAAATGAACTGGATTGTATAAAAAATAATATAATGTATGTACAAACGAAAACTAAATATAGTTTTACGGTAATTGGCAGTCATTTAAAAATATAAAAAATGCCATTTTTGAATGTGATGTGATGTGTAGTGAATGTTAATGAAAAGACTAGAAAAACTTTATCTACATAAAATTTCGTAAGGTAAATTTTCATTTACTCTTTTCTCACAAATATATTTAAAAAAATGAAAAATAGGGTTATTTATACAGTAAATTTAGTGAGAAACTTAGATTTTTTGCTTTAGAAGTTAATTGAGGAACAAAAATCTTATGAAATGATAAGATTTTTTGTTAAATCCGATTACTCTTCCTATGCCTGTTAGATGTGATTGCAAAGCCTTAACTATTCTAAATTATAAGTAACAACTAGTTTTCAGTTGTTGAACATGAACAGAGGAGTATTATTTAATATCGGACAGAAAAATCTAGTCTAAATGTATTTTAAGCAATTATATTCATTGGATGTGTTTTGCATCTTAGTCTGACTATATAAATCTAAGATTCAATGTTAAATTTTGTTTTAGTTCCCAAAATCAGTAACGTTAAAGTCATTTCAACGTTCATGTTCATTGTGTAGTATGCATAGTATATTGCATTGCATTGTAATTATTTAAATGTTTCAAGTTTAAGCGTTGTTAAGATTATATTGTGTATTATAATAAGTGATTAATATTATAAAGAGGAAAGATTAGATTGTTAGCTTGTTCAATACTTAGCTAAAAATAAAACTATCAGGATGAAAGATGAAAGTATGTTAGTTCATTATTATCAACGGTATATGTATAATCAAAATATTCGTCACACTATCAAGTAATTACATCATCTTCATTGCCTTGCCTCTATCCCTTTATATGCTGTCGGTGCAATTTGTGAACTTCCAGTGACCCTTATCAGCGGTTATATTAGTCACACATCGTATAAAAATGTTGTCTAAATAGGTTTTGATGATTTGCTATAAACATTTATTTTAAATAACTGTTATATAAAAGTTGAGTCCATTTTTATATTTACCAGCTGAATTTCTGCATACTTTTATTAAAGAACACAAGAAACGCTTGACATAACAATAAAAATATAACCTATATTTTGTTATTATAGAAGCTACTTAAAAAGTTGTGTATTGATTATTAGTCGGTATAATATAAAAGATTTTTTATATTATTTTGAAGTTTAACTAGGATTAACCGATATCGCAAACGTACAAAAATATTCTTTACGTCATTAAAATAGTCTCCAATTAAAATTGTTGATTGTTGCATGTATGGTATAATTTACAATACTACTACTAGATTACTAGGAAGCTTGCAACTGTTTTAACGTTTTGAAAGAACATTCATTTAGTGAACTGCAATTGAATTACTACCAACTACCACTGAAAACCACTATATAATTGGTGCTGTATATTATTTGTTCGATGGTGTAAATTGTAATTGTACCAAATTGCAAAATAATAAACTTTTACGAATAGGATTTTCCTAAGAACGGCACGAGACCAATAAAAGCCCTCGTAATTGTGATTGATCTGTGTGTTTTATAATTTATACAACGATACGAATCGTAGGCATTTATCAGGAATGTCTCCAAAACTTTATCGAGTTGGTCACACTACTCTCTTTCATAATGTGACTGTGTGTGTTATTTTTTTTTATAATCCGTGTTTATTCTATTGAAATCTATACATGTTTGAATTTTAAAAAGTACGTTCTTTATATTTGAATTACTCATTGATATATTTGTTTAATGTCACGATAGTAAAATGTAAGTTCAAATATTAAAATTATTATTTAAATATATGAAGACAGGTACATTCTATTTTTATTTATTACAGTACTACTCAAAAATGAGTTGAAGAGATGCATTGCCCGAGCAGTAGGACATTTATTGGCGTGATTTATGCTTTAATAATTTCTCAACCAATATAATACTACTAATTTAAAAATACTATTCGAACATATAGAGAGTTAGGGGGACAGGTATTTGAGTAAAAATAAAACAGGAGTGTGGAATGAAATTTATTACAATAGCGTTATAAATATTTACATGTAGAAAGTAAACTTAGACTAACCTGTCATCTAACTTTAGGCCTAAATGGGATTGTCTTCTTATCTCAGAACAACGGACATCAGATCCGTATCTCCATATTTAAAATTACTGAATTTGACATTAATTTCAATTGCAATATAATTTTTGAAATGGAATGAA